CCGCAGAACGTGATTAAAAGTAGCTTTGTTAACTCTCTCTATTGCCGCCTTTAGGCTGAATTTATTCCAGTTATTAATATAACCAATGACAAAGATTGATTTGTTATAAAATTAAATGTGCAGTGACCCTACCCAGTATATCGATCCTCATCAAACAATATTTACTGCCGCAAAGTGCACTGCTTATTGAACACAAAATATAGATCAATTAAATCGATCAATCTAATTAAGTGAACAAACTTTCTAATCGACTTTAACCGTGAACAACGAACGGAGATAATAACGGTAGCTGGAGTCAATAATCCATTTTGAAGACTGGGATTTAAAATGGGATCTGAGCTCACCTTTGAACGGTAAGAGAGAAGAAACATCCGGAGAGTTTTTCCACCCAGCGTCTAAACATTGACAAAAAGATACGAAATCAAACTTCCAAAGTCCCTCGATATAATAGCGAAAATTAAGCGTGAGTGTAAAGATGCACTAAAATTGAGTTTTTTATGCCATTCATGGCTTCCTATCTTCAGGATTGAATCCAAAATAAAACACGAGTTCTCATAAAATCATCGAGAGGTCCATTTTTACTGGAATTTCATTTTATGTTTTAATTAACTCTATACGTGCAGTATATATTCTGGTTGGAAATATACACACATTAATTAGGTAGTGCTTTTTACGAATCTTGTTTTAGAGATTCAAGCAAACGTACACCTGTGATTTTTCTCCCGCAGGCTCGTACAGTGACATATCAGTCAGTATCAGTCAGCCTATGGAAGGGAGTAGAGTAACACATGTTTCAACAATCACAAAATTGTACGAGTCGGCACTTATCCAAAAGGATAAAGGAACACCTCCCGGCATGGCTGAGAAAAGGTAAAGTCAGGAGTGTAGACAGCTCTATTCTGGCGCACATGGTTGACTCCGGACATAGGGTGGACCCCAACGAAGCTTTCCGGGGTCTCACAAAACTATCCAGAATCCCTAGGTCAGCGCCAGCTAGCAACGACAGAAGCGACTGCTATCAGGTTGATGAAGCCGGTTTGTGCGCACAAAAAGATCCTAGTAAAAGCTCCACATCTGGCGTGGTCCACAGTCACTTAGCGACATGCACTCGTCCGCGCTCTGTTTGTTTTCCCCCCTCCGCCTCATAGACTGGTTCCACCAAACCCTACCCTCGCATCCAAGGTATTTGTCTAGAAGAAGTCGTTGCGTTCACCGGAATCGTACTTTTATTCTTCTGAGCTTTCGGACTCCTGCGGGAGTCCATCTTCAGAGATAAACCGTCAACGAAAAGCGAGCAACAGTTATAGGGGGCAGGAACCAATCAACTGTTATAGGAGAAGGGGAGAGAGGGCGAAGAGTAGGGTGGGGGAAAGGAGGAGGAGTGGGCGAGGGGTAGAGGAGGAGGAGGAGGAGGAGGGGGAGGGGGAGACTCATTAATAACCAGTTGCGGTCGTGCGTATATGTCTGCGGAGAGCCGACTCAGTACACCGGTTGAGTGAATTGTCACCCGAGGCCCAGGCTTCAGTTAGCTGTCCTGCCGTCTTGCTGTCTACGTGAGCAACTATCCTTGCGGCTGCGAAGTTAAATTCGTGGCCCGTC